AGGTACATTGCATGCATTTTTAAAACTCTATATAATATTAATAACTTATTTTAAATATTAACTCCTATTAGAAAAATTTGGACCATCTTGATTTATGATTGATGGCTGACAACTTTTCTTTCAATTTTGCATCCATTTGTCCTTTATATTGGGTTATCGGAAAAGTCATGACATATTTTTTCTATGTTTTTCGTTGCAAAAATGCGTCATGACTTTCAGAACAATATTATGTTCTGGGATAATTTCTGGGTTTGATCTATATCACAAATTTACTCATCAGTTCATCTATGAAGTTTTTAATTCTAATGATCAAAAATTTTAGTTCCATTGTATCTAATCATTTTTTTCTGAATAGAAGCTATTCCTGGTTTTTTTTTCCATGAATATATATCCATTCTTATTCTTCTGCTAAAATATTCAATTTATTGTATTAATTCTGTTGCTTCATCTTAACTAACCAGAGTTTGATGACTCTCTTTTATATGGTTCATTTTCTTAAAAGATATTCTTGGGTGTCAGCTCATCTCTTTTTGGTTTCCCTGCTCGCCTATCTGTTGACGAGTTCAGGTACCCAGCTCTCCTCCAGTTATTTGGAGAGACAGGTAGGAGCTTCTACTGGGAGCAAGAAGCCAATCATTCACCTGCCCTCTGGTGTCACCAACATCCCCCGGAAAGCTCTGTCTCCATTCTCTCTGCTCTTGCCTAGGGACACCCATTTGGCCTCCACTGGCTGGCATAACTGGATCTGAGAGAAAGCCAATGACCCTATTGTTCTGGGCCCCCCTCTGCCCACTGCATCCTCTTTCTCTGTGTGTGCAGCAGCTCCTCTGGCACAGCTCCCACCATTCACAGATGTTTTCTAAGGTCCATATATGTTTTCCATTAATCCAATCCAAACTGTTTGCAGTCTTTCAGGAGATAATCAAAATGTCTGATGCACTGATGGCATTCTTTTATAATACTGCTTGAGATTTATTTAGAATACATTTGCTGTCATTCCTAAGATTTGGCTCGAATGGAGAAGGTAGATGTGCGAGGTTAGTCTGCAATCTTACTTTTTCCATTTGGATGTTGAGACCCCTTCTACCCCAGCCCTTCTCATTACGCAGTACCCTGCCCCCGCCCCCTGCGCTGACACCTTCCCCTCCTGCTTTTGTATTGTTCCTTGGTAAAGTGCCTTGTCCAAAATGGATACCCCCAAATATTTAAGTGTTCAACACTTGCCATGGCATCAAATACTTTAATTAAGGGAGTGAATTGCAAAAAAGAAAATGAATTTATATAAAGCTGCAGACTATGGATCAAGAGCTAATCAAAACAACTACTAGAAAACTCTTAAATTTAACTAGTTTTAAGAGTTTCTCTTTATCACCCTGGAAAAGTAACCTAAATATTACTGATAACCATTCAACAGTCCATCTAAGCAAGGTATGTGCTGATATCGTTTACGTTGGCCCAGTGTGTGAGTATGAGTGTGTGTGTGTGTGTGTGTGTGTGTGTGTGTAAGTATTGTGTTAATTTTGAGCAACCATAATTGCTGCACTCTTCCATGGAATTTAATTTGTTGCTTTTTGTATTTTAATTTTTTACAGATTATTTCAAACATAATAAAGTGCTACGTGTATTGTATTTTATTCAATGATTTTTACTGAATGCCTATTAAAAAGTAGATATCTTACAATATTGTGGAAATGAAATGAGATGAACAAGGTAGTACCATCGTGGCACGTAGGGCATGCCTACATTTGTACATATCTCAAACTACTATATTTCCCTGCTTACATTTGTGATTAGTGGGCCAGGCTGGGAACTCCTTGAAATCTATCATGGCTTCTTCATCTTCTTTTTGTATTCTGTGTATCTGCACAATGCCTTGCTCAAATGAATTGTTCAATAAATGTTTAATTGCTTAGTATTATGATATTTTTGTGCCTGTTAGAGTGAATATAAGATTATTATTCAATATTAGAGGCAAATAAGGAGAAACAGAAATAGTAAGAACACTTCATAAATCAATTGCTAAATATATAATACAATTTGTACATTTTATAAATAGGGGAAATGAGACTCAGAAAGATTAAGTACTTTGAAAAGGCAGCCCCTGACCGTGTACCCAAAATCTCCATTCTAGCACTTTTCCCTTCACAGCACAAGTTAGATTGAAATCTGAAAAATGAAGTGGCCAATCTCATAAATGTTCACCACTTTGCAGTACTGGATAGCTGACTACCTACTTCCTTTGGAAGACAATTTCAAGTCCTTTCAAATATATAACACTCCAAAAGGTGTTGAGGAGTTTAGGCACCAGTAGGCATAATAGCTATTGAGAGAGGGCAAAGGACAACTGAGGATCGGAAAGCTGGTACTAAGAAGAAACTGTTGAGAATGAAAGGCAGTTGCGTTTATACATAATTCACCTTCATATAAAGACACCATGATTCCTCACATTAGAATTACAGGATCACAGAATTCTGGAAATACAGAGGAGCAAAAGCGTAGTCCCGTGATAATCAACAGCCAGAAAACAGCCCGTGCTCTAGCATCCAAGGCTTTGGAGGTCTGATCTCACCAGGTACTTCAGGATCACTTCCCCTTATTGCACCATCTGGCCTAGTCACGGGAATTTTTTTTTTTTCACTCTAAAATTCCACATCTCCACTCAGGCTCTTCCCCCTATCTAAAACACTCTTCAGCCCTTTCCTGCCAAGAGATAGCCTCCCCATGCTTCCACATCCAATTAAACTCTGTCTGCTTTGTGAAGCTTTCTCCAACTCCCCAAGCAGGACTTTACCTCAAGCATAACGTTGAATTCATCATGTCAGTATGTCACTGTTTCATGACGACCTATGTCACGTCTCCTTGTATATGATATCCTTTTCCTAATCGATGAGCCCCTCACACAGGACCAAGAATACATTTAACATCCAATAGGATTTTACTTCTACCATCCAACTGTTAACTACATCATCCAATTCTCTCCTTTCACTTAAGAAAACTGAAGCCCAGGGAAGTAAGGGACCTGTCAATCATCAGGGAACAAGCCAATGCTAGAATTCAGATAACAGATTACGGCCTCTCTTTCCTATCCCACCCTCAGGGAAAAGGGCTGGCATGGGAGAGCCTGGAGTAACAAACCCACCCCTCCTGGCTATCTGCCTAACTTTTTACTCAAAGTTTGACTGCTATACTGTATTGCTGGCAACGTCAGCTTTCCTCAATAACAAAGACTTCCCAGTTCAGAACATATACATATGTGGCAAATAGGAAAAGTGAGTAGAAGTCCAACATGATAAACAGGGAGGTATGTCAAACTTCTATTCAGTCTATGAAAAACCTACTCATAATTCTAACTTTGCTTCCTTAAGTATGGAGAGAAGGCATAGCTCATTTGGAAAATGTGACCAAAAGCCCACATTTCAACACAGTGAAATGCTTTATCCCCTATTCCTTCCACCACACCAAGAACTTTCTATATGTAATTACTTAATTCCCAGCCAAAAACTAGTGGACAATGAAATCCCCACAAAAAGTTTCCCCCGGTGAAGTGTTCAAACATCAGTTCCACAAAAAACATTTTAAAAAGCTTTTCATGTGATTTTTCCATGCCAATTCTTTTCACTCATGGCTAAAAATGTCCATATTTGAATATTCATCATTATGAGCATCTGGTAAAATCTAGCCCTGTCCAGCAATTTACATCATTTGACTATGGGACCTTAGGAGAGCATAGGTAAAAATTTCCAGTTTCATTTTGTTCGGATTTTTAACCATCTTTTGACATTTCATGGCTTTGGATAGCTTTGATTGTGCTGCTATTTTCTGCTATAAATAAGGAAAATGAGATCCAGAAAGATTAAGTACTTTGAAAAGGATTAAATAATTACTATTAGATTTTTCTCCAATTAGGCAGGTTGCTTTCAGACAAGTCCTTGTGGATTTCATTAACAGCTCACTAGGAACAACAAAATGAAGCCACAAATCACACGGGTGTTTTCAATATTTTGTAGATTTTGCCTGAAACCAATAGCAAAGTCCATGGTGGCGATGGCTGCACAACAATGTGAATGTACCTAATGCCACTGAAGTGGGCCTCTAAAAATGGTTAAAACGGTAACTTTTATGCTAGGTATACTTTACCACAAAGTAAAGGCCAACTTACAGGAGGTAACAATTATCCCAAACCCTGCGTCAAGACAGAAGAGAAAAAATTCGAAGGATAATCTCTACTGTTCACAAAGAGCAAATGGCTTTTTCCCTCCAGTTCCACAGGCCTGTTAGCAAGGCTTTCACGCTTGTTACTTTCCTCCATGGAGTGGAGAGAAGAAAAGGAACTATTGCCAAATAAAATGTAAACCTTAGAAAAGAAAATGTTAAATCCTGGAACCATAACCCTTTGAAAACTGACGGGATCTCATGTCACCCATGAGTCCACAGCTCCCGGGCTTTCCGTTGGTACAGCTCAGCTCCGGCCCCTCACCGCTGTGCTGGTGGATGGGTTTAGATTCTAGACCGTTGTCAGAACGTAATTTAGGGGGCTGTTCTGACAACTTTGAAGCAGGACATGAAAAAAGCTCTAAGATAATAGATGAGGAACTGGGGGTGAGGGACACACGCCGAGGAAATTCGGCAGTGAGCAGATTGGTTGTCTTCCAGTCTCTTGAAAGACGCCACGTGGTGGGCTTACTTTGGAAAACAGAAAGAAGGAACACCAGGGAGAAGAGTTCCAAGGAGACAGTTTCCTATAGTATTCGAAGAAGCGTATAAACATCTGGAAAGGAGCAGGCTACTAACTCTTCCAACGCGTCTTCAGATTCACTAAGTGCCCTGGATGTGTTGTTCCCTGGGAGGTAAGCGCTGTGGATTTCTGGGTGGCGCAGACCAGGGTGAAGTTCAGGGCGAGCACTTTGGAAGGGAATGAGGTGCATGCAAATCAGCCTGGCCTATGGGGGGCGAGGGAGGAGTGGCTGGGGGGAGTGGAGAGCGGGAAGGAGGGCGCTTACCAGGCCACCTCCACAGGTGCTGAAAGAGGCCAGTGAGCCCGGGTGCCGCAGCACCGCTCCGGTGTAGAAGCAGGCGGCGTCGGGCGGCGCGGGTGGGCGCGGGGCTGCTGCTGCCCGCGTGGGGCCGGGGCCCGGACTCGGTCGCTGTTCCACCGCGAAGCGCGGTGCCAGGAAGCGGCCGTCTCTCCGGAGCAGCAGGTAGAGGTCCCGGGAGAAGGCCGGAATCCGCAGCAGCACCTCGTCGCCTTCCGGCTCGGCTTGCTGGGCCGGGGGCGGAGACGGGGGCGGCTGTGGGGGTGGCGGAGGCTGCCACGAGGCCGGGGCGCCTGGGGACAGGGCGGCAGCCCCACCGGATCCCCGCGGCAGCTCCTGAGACTCGAGCTCCTCATCCTCCTCGCCCCCTGGAGGCGGTGGGGGCCGGGGCCGGGGCTCAGACGGGCCCTCGGCGGGCTCCTCGAGCGGCGCCGGGGCCACAGAGCGCACCTCGCGGGAACTGCCGGCTGCCTGCGCCCGGGCGCCTCCGCCGCCGCCGCCAACGCCGCGCACCCAGCCTGAGTCGGCGCTGCCCCCGCTGCCGCCAGCCGCGTCCACCGGCTCCCGGCGCCAGAGTGCAGGAAACACGACTTCCCACTCCTCGCGGTCGGGGGCGAACTGCAGCCCTGCGGGCGGGGCAGACAGAGAAGTGCGGGGCTGAAAGTGCACAAGCATGCCCAGGCTCACACTCGTCCGGCCCCAGGGCTCCAGCGTTACGGCGTCAGAGACCACCCGTCTAGCCCCTGAAAGTCCTGCAACCCCTGAAGCCTGGCGATCAGATTACAGACCCCAGCATTTTCAAAATAAAAGTGCGATTATGTGGGGGGGGAGGGGAGAGGGAGTGAGGCAGTCAAGTCTGGTGACAGTACTTGGTTGTTGAAAGGTGCAAAGACGCGAACACAATTAAATGATTTTCATAAGTACATGCCAGAGCAGAGCTATCCATTTATGTGCTTCCCAGTTCTCCTCCAGGTGTTGTAAACGCACCTTTGCAAACATCATTGCTCTCAGAGAGGAGCTAATCCTTTCGGGATCGTTAAAAAGAGGCCTGGAGAACAGCTCTGGACTGGTGAGCGTGGCCCCCTCCTCCTCACCCACACGCTCGTTTCCTTGCTGCCCACTGAGCCCTGCTCGCCGCGCACAGGCTGCACTAGCCCTGCCAACCCGTGCGTTCCCGTTCTCTCTGCTGGGGACTTTGGAAAGCAAGCCGCAAGACCCGGCAGCACTTACCTGAAACGGTCCCATGCGACAAGACCCCTAGCTGGTAAAGGAGGCAGCAGCAGCAGAGGTGAGCCAGGCGCATCTCGCAGCTCTTCCGCAGCCCGCGCCCCCGCGGCTCCCTGTCCTGCGCGCGCCTCCCTGCGCGATCCACCGCGGGCGCCGCCGCCTCCCCGGAGCGCAAGGAGGCCGGGCGGCGAGTTTGCCCAGGCCCTTTGTCTGCCGCGGGGGGGGAAGGGGGGCGGGGGGCTGCTGTATGACTCCGAGAGGCTGCCTGAGTACAGGGGGTGGGGTGGGGGGAGGAGCGGGGGCAGGCACCGCAGCGCTCCGGCTCCCTGGCGAATTAGGTGATGAGTCTATTTTCTGTGTTCTGGATGTTGCAGAAGTTTCCGGAGCCCCACAGGACCGACCCACAGCCAGCCGAGAGCCGGCAGGCGCAAGGCGGGTACAGCGCTGCCTGGAGACTCGGGGAGGACTGCCCCGCGCGGGCAGGAGAGCCGTGGTGTGCCAGCCGAGGCTAGCCGCCTGCACCCGCGCCGAACTGCCCGGGGCTAGTGCCGCAGCCCCAGCAAACTGGTGTGCCAATCTCCACACACGCCTGGGGACCGAAATGCTGCAGGCTCTTACCCGCAGGGTGTGGGAGGGAATTGGGGGGGGGGGAAATGAGAGGAGACACGACTCGCAAGGTGGGGTGTGGAGGAGAAAAGATGCAAACAGATCTGATAAGAAAGAGAACCAAGGGGTGCCCGCCAAGAGTTACTTTGCGGGACAAAGGTCCCGGAACACCACACACGTGCTCACACTCCTGGTTGGGATGGGGTGGGGACCCAAATTTCCTCACCTGGCTCCTGATTGGCTACTCTGGGAGCCGAATTTGCATCCTAACACAGCACCCACTAATCCACCCCCACGGAGGTGTGTGCAGGTAAAAGTGCCTCCCCCTTTCCACCCCACCCCCTTACTCAGGCTCCTCCTTTGGTCGGGTTCCCTCCTCCCCACCCCATCGCACATCACACAAAGCAAACTTCATGCAGACGTTAGTACAAAGCTGCAGCCCCATTTACCAAAGACCTTTGATTTTTCTTCCCATCTTTGTCTATAGGAATTTTCTAAGCCTGGAGATAATGCAATTCGTCATGGAGTGTACTTCAAAGGTTCCCAGGACAGTAGACACCCTGACATTTCTGATCCCCTTATCCCACCTTATCTTTCTTGCTTCCCATTCATCGGGTGCTATCAATTTCCCCCTCCTCCCTCTCTCTCCCCCTCTCTCCTCTCTCTCTCTCTCTCTGATCTCTCTCTCTCTCTCTCTCTCTCTCTCTCTCGATCCCCTTATCCCACCTTATCTTTCTTGCTTCCCATTCATCGGTGCTATCAATTTCCCCCTCCTCCCTCTCTCTCCCCCTCTCTCCTCCATCTCTCTCTCTCTCTCTCTCTCTCTCTCTCTCTCTCTGTCTCTCTCTCTCTCTCTCCTCCATCTCTCTCTGTTTCTTGGTCCTTGTCATCTTTTTTGATCTGCTCAGTCTCTACCTGTCCTCAGTCAATACCC